CAGACTTTTCTGCTTGGGCTGGCTTCAAGTTTCGTGCGCCGCGCGCCGCCGCCGCCCCGGGAGCGCGCCGAGTGGCGCCGGCGTGGCTACGCGCCTCTGCTCTACTTGCAGTCCCACTGCGACGTGCCCGCCGACCGGGACCGCTACGTGCGCGAGCTCATGCGCTACATCCCGGTGGGTGCGGGCGGGCCGGCGGGCCGGTGGGCGGTGGGCGGGCCGGGCGGAGCCCCAACCCCAGGGTGGCCATGCTGACAGTGCTGCTCTGCCCGCGCGCAGGTGGACTCGTACGGGAAGTGCCTGCAGAATCGGGAGCTGCCCACTGCACGCTTACAGGACACAGCCACAGCCACCACCGAGGATCCGGAGCTCTTGGCCTTCTTGTCCCGCTATAAGTTCCACCTGGCCATGGAAAATGCCATCTGCAACGACTACATGACAGAGAAACTGTGGCGCCCCATGCACCTGGGTGCTGTGCCTGTGTACCGTGGCTCTCCCTCCGTGAGGGACTGGATGCCCAACAATCACTCCATCATACTGATTGACGACTTCGAGTCTCCTCAAAAGCTGGCAGAATTCATTGACTTTCTGGATAAAAACGATGAGGAGTATATGAAATTCCTGGAGTACAAGCAACCTGGGGGCATCACCAACCAGTTCCTTTTGAATAGCTTGAAACGCCGTGAGTGGGGCGTGAATGATCCTCTGCTGCCCAACTACCTCAATGGCTTTGAGTGCTTTGTCTGTGACCATGAACTGGCCCGGCTGGACGCTGAGAAAGCCCACATGGCCTCTCCCAGGGACGTCCCTGTCCCCGAGCCTCACATCGCCCAGCCCTCACACATGAACTGTCCAGTGCCCACACCTGGCTTTGGCAGTGTGGAAGACATTCCTGAGAATGACAGGTAGGGATATTGGAGTTCTGTGTAGCCGGAAAATCAAGTTGTTTGTCTTTATTGTGCCAGTCCTAGCCTGGGCGCTGTCCCTGAGCTTTTGGGCTCAAGGCTAACACTACCACTTGAGCCAAAGCTCTACATCCTTCTCTTTGATGGATAAAAGGGGGGGGGGGAGGATAAGAGTCTCACGGCTTTCCTGCTCAGGATGGCTGCTAACTGCAGTCTTTAGATCTGAGCCTCCTGCATAGCTAGGATTACAGGTGGGATTCCTTGGCACCTGGCTGTTAATTGTGCGCTCTAGGTACAAAGGGGATTATGAGATGGGCTCACACTTCCTCGAAGGTGGCCAGAGTAGTTGGAGATCCAAACTCTGGTGTAATCCTAGCGCTCCAGAGGCTGAGGCAAGAGGATCAGGGTTTGAGGTCAGCCAGAGCGACTTAGTGAAACTTTGCTATGGGCCTTAATATTATTATTAATAGTAATAATTAGTGGTAGGAAATAAAGAAAAATTAAAAGTCTGGATAAAAATGTAAGATATAATTAAATGCTACACAGGAAAATGAGCACATTTGGTCAATGTTTGCCATGCTTCAAACCAAACTTGAACCAGAGTAGAGGGTTCATGCCAGGAAGGTGATTAAGGAAACTTGGGCCCAGGAGTTTGGAAGGATCAACTTAGCTATTTAGTATTTGAGCACCTTCAGTATGGTGTGGATAATAGAGATGAGCTGTTTCGTTTTTCAGTCATGTTGTACTTAAACTCAGGGCCTAATCCGTCCTAGGCAAAAGCTCTACTACTGAGCTTATATTTCTAGATTTTGTAGTTGTCAGGATTTATATCCGTTACTTAGGCATAATTACTAACAATTACTTTTTCTTTTTTCTTTTTGCTCTGGTATTGGAACTTGAACTCAGAGAGGTTTGCACTTTTTTTTTTTGTCAGTCCTGGGGCTTGAACTTAGGGCCTGAGTGCTGTCCTTGAGCTCCTTTTGCTCAAGGCTAGTATTCTACCACTTTGAGCCACAGTGCCACTTCCTGCCTTTTCTGAGTAGTTTATTGGAGAGGAGAGTCTTACAGATGTTCCTGCCTGGGTTGGCTTTGAGCCATGATCCTCCAATATAACCCTCCTGAGTAGCTAGGATTACAAGCATGAGCCACCAGCACCTGGCTGAGTTTTGCACTAGAGGGAGGTAGAGGGGAGGAGGTACCTGGGGCTTGAATGTTGTATCCCAGAGCTTTTTTGTTCAAGGCTGGTGTTCTACCACTTGAGCCACAGCTCCATTTCCAATTTTTTTAGTGGTTAATTCGAGATAACAGTCTCACAGACTTTTCTTTTCTTTTTTTGGGTCCGGTCGTGGGGCCTGAACTCTGGGCCTGGGCACTGTCCCTCAGCTCTTCAGCTCAAGGCTAGCACTCTACCACTTGAGCCACAG